AACTGGAGTTACAGACAGTTGTTAGCTGCCATGTGGGTGCTGGGAACCAAGTCTGGGTCCTCTGCAAGAGTAGCCAGTGCTCCTAAGCCCCAACAAGCTGTCTCTCCAGTCCCTCTTCAGCTTCTTTTATAAATAATGTTTTATTGATTCTTTGAGAATTTCTTTTTTTTTTTTTTTTTTTTTTTCAGATTCCCCTGGAACTGGAGTTAAGGATGGTTCATAGTCACCATGTAGGTGCTGGGAATCGAACCTGGGTCATCTGCAAGAGCAGTCAGTGCTCTCAACCGCTGAGCCATCTCTCCAGTCCCCCCTCCATTAATTTTTAAAAGTCTATCAAGTCTAATTTGTCTTCCTTATATGCTCTTGGGTGTAGGTCCAACCCCTAGAGCCTGGTCAACTACAGGACACCACACCCCTTAAAGAAAACTGAATCTCCCTCTCCCAGCAGCTATCAATAACCAATAGTTCTCAACTAGGGCTGGGGCTTCACCTCCCCTTCCATGCTGGGCTTTCATCTGCTTGGGCTTGCACAGATCTTGTGCATGCTATCACAAGTGCTGTGGGTTCACATGTGAAACTGCCCTCTTGTGTCTGTAAAGCAGTTTCCTAGCATCTGTGTTCTATTGTGACTCTCTTTCCCTTTCTTCCTCTGGTTTGAGAAGCTCATACAATGTCTGTATCAAGCTTCCCCGTTCCACCTCATAGCAATAGTCTACCATCTCTTCAGACCACTTCTGCTTCTACCTCCCTATTTTTCTTTGTTCTACAACCCAATTTGGAATCTTCCACAACTTTTGCCTCCACCTCAGGTCTCTACAGTGTCATTTCCCTACTTCTGCCCTTTGCCCCTTCTCTGTCTCCTCCCCATTTCAGAGCCTCTGTATGACATGGCTTTTTGAATATTTTAAAATTTTTTATGTGTATGAGTGTTTTGTCTGCCTGGATTTAAGAGCACCACATGTGTGCGATGTCCACAGGGACCAAAAGAGGACATTAGATTCCCTGGAACCAGAGTTTCAGACAGTTGTTAGCTGCCATGTGGGTGCTGGGAACTGAACACCGCTCCAATGCACTCAACCGCTGAGCCATCTCTCTAGTCCCATGTGCTACATGATGTTTGAGGGAAACTGCCCACTAAGATGGCACTGAAAGCCCGGCAAATGACTTGTACAAGTTCATCTTGATGAGTGAAATGAGTTTACTAGGGGCTAGTTACAGAGTAATAAACAGCGGTGAGCATATTCACTTTCCTGAAGTCACCATACCCTACCTACCAAGCTCCTACTTTTTTTCCATCACATTTTATTTTAAACTAAAAAAAATTTATCTTGGCATTCTTTTTTTTATTCCAAGAAAACTAAAGAAAGACAGCCAGTGTTCTTAACTGCTGAGCCATCTCTCCAGTCCTTATTTATTTTTAATGTATATTTTATTGAATTTTTGTACATTTCATACAAAACATCTTAACCCTCTTTATACCCCCTACTCATCCACACCATTCCCATAATCCCTCCACCACATTTCATGCATTCTGTCATATATGTTAAGCCCTGTTGAGTTAAATTACTGTACCCCTCAGTGCAAGTTCATCCACTGGGGTCTAGGCAGCCTATCTAGAGTCTCTCCCTCAAAGAAGATCAACTCTCCCTCACCCAGCAGTAATTGGATGCCAATGGTTCTTTGACTAAGGTTAGGACCTGATGTCCATTTCTCCAGTCTATGCTGGGTTTTTGTCTGCTTGAGTTTTCGTGGGTCTTGTACATGCTGACACCATTGCTACAGGTTCACATGAGGGGACGGTTCCAGGAGCCCATAAGACTCTTTTTCCATATGGCCATATACCTCCTCCCCTGACTCTTACAATCTTTCTGCCCCGTCTTCCACAACGGTCCCTGAACCCTGACTGGGTGAAATTTAATATAGGAGTCTTGTCCAGGACCCACACTCTGCAGACTCTTATTCTCTATGCTTTGGCCATTTATGGCCTTTTGTGTTCATTGTCCTCTGTCGCATGAGGGAGCTTCACTGATGATAGTCAAGAGATGCATTAGTATTCTGTCTACCCCTTGGTTTTACATTATTTTTATTTTATGTATATGAGTGTATTGCCTGCATGTATGAAAATGCACCTGTGTCATGCAATGCCCACAGAGGGCAGAGAAGGGAGTGGAATCCCCCTGGAACTGGAGTTACAGACAGTTGTTAGCTGCCATGTGGGTGCTGGGAACCAAGTCTGGGTCCTCTGCAAGAGTAGCCAGTGCTCCTAAGCCCCA